CCTTAGAAGTGCATTGTCTGTGGATGAAACAGACCGACCCTGGTGTGATCTAAGAAAGGGCTACTCAGAGGGTGGCTGTCCCAGGTGCTCTCTGATGTTCTAGCCATCTGCTTCCCATTCCTTCTTCTGGGTCTTAATCTAAGAAGACCTTTGTTGCAGGAACAATTACTCACTCGTTTATATATAGAAACAGTCTATTTTCTGCACATCCCAAACTCTATCTTCCTGGGTTGTAGGAATAGAGAAAGGTAAGTTCTTATAGATAATCAGTACTGGTTTCTGGAACTTTTCGTACCTCTTGCCACTGACCTGTGCGGAGTATGAAATGAAGCGATGTCATCCTTTTGACAGAAGAAACCCTCGTTAACAGCAATGGCAACAACCCAGGATGGCTATTACCCACCTACTTCCACCCCCCCCCAAAAAAAAAAAACAAGTTTGGTGTGGATATGAAGAAAAAGGAATCATTTTGTGTGGCTGCTGGAAATGTAAAATAGTGTAATCACCAAAGACAGCCTGGCGGTTCCTCAAAAAGTTAAAAAATCCTACATAACCCCGCAATTTCACTTCTGAATATACACCCAAAAGGACTGAAAGCAAGGACTCCAACAGCTACTCTCATGTACACCAGTGTTCCTGGCTGGATTGCTCACAACAGCCAACGGTGGGAAGAGCCCAGGCGGTCAACAGATGAGTGGATAAACAATGGTATGTGCATACAACGGAAGACTCCACTTCTAAAAGGAATAACATTGAGACCTGTTAGGACATGGGTGAACCTTGAAGACCTTCAGTTGAGTGAAATAAACCAGTCACAAAAGGACTGATACTGTAGGACAACATATGTGAGGCACCTAGTGTCGTCGAGCTCCTAGAGCTAGGAAGAAGGACAGTGGCCACCAGGGGCTAGTGGGCGACAGGAAGCGGGAGACAGGAAGTGCTTAAGGAGTTCAGAGTTTTCAGTTCTGGGGATAGATGGTGGTGGTGGTGATAGTGAGTGTACTTAACTCTGTACTCATATATGGTTAGAATGATACATTTTATATTACATGTATTTTATCACACACACCCAAAAACTTTTGGAACAGCCTCTTTGGAGAACAATCTGGCAATATCCAGTTAAAAGTGAAGATGTGAATACTTTATGACCACACCCCCTCAACAGCAGAGAAAAGGATTTCATAAACTGTCATAAATGTACATAATGGGATGCCATATGCAGTGGAAAAAAAGTTTCAAGCTATATAAACTAGCAAGGATCCATCTCCAATTTAATGTTGACTTTAAAATAGTAGCAGGTGCCTGGGTGACTCAGTATGTTAAGCCTCTGCCTTCAGCTCAGGTCGTGATCTCAGTGTCCTGGGATGGAGCCCCACATCAGGCTCTCTGCTCAGCGGGGAGCCTGCTCCCCTCCCCCCACCCCTGCCTGCCTCTCTGCCTACTTGTGATCTGTCTCTGTCCAATAAATAATATTTAAAAAAATAGTAGCAGAAAGGTACCTGTACATATGTAAATTTTTTTATGAAGTTCATGGATCGATACATACAAGGTGAAATAATAGACTAGTACTTACCCTCTGGCAAAGCAGATAAAGAAATAGGATCGAGGAGAAAAGATACACAGGGGTTTCAGTTGTGTCTGTGATGTCTCTTAACCTGGTCATTATGAATGTTCATTTTATTTTCGTTCTCCCTCCCTGTCTCCCCTTTTCTCTCTTAGTGCATGCCCGAAATAGTTTATTAAACTCCACATGGGAGCAAAAAATAAGAGGGGGGAAGGAAAATAAAAAACCAGAAGAGCCAAACCTCCCATCAAAATAACCAACCTCTTTTCACCCTCCACCTTTATAACACACAAAAATATCAACCTTTAAAAATAACTTTAAAAATACTGCTTATATCTTTAGATCTCTCACCAAAGCAGGGGCTGTGTCTGGGGTGATTTTTTTTTTTTTTTCCTCGTTGACTGGTGCTGAGGTCACGTTGGGCACTTAGTAGATCACGGTGATGTCATGCCACTCATCCTGAGGAGGGTGACAGCCATCACCTGTTGCCTTGGGGGGTAGTCCCTGCCCTGCTCACACACAGCTGCCCAGAATATGCTATGTGTGCCCTCATCAGGTCAGCGCGTCTTTCTCCAGCTCTTCCAACCGAAAATATGTAGAAGTCTACTAACCTCTGTTGAAGAGAAAACCTTCTCATCTCAAGGCTAGACGATTCTAAGGTCCAGCTATGTGAAGGTTACTTTAACTCTGCTTTCCAGACGACTCCTGATGTTGTGAAACAGGAGATTCATTTCTCCGGCAGTAACAATGCTCCCATTGAGAGAGCGGCGCTGGCACACGCATACATTGCTCTTGGTTTGCTAGAACAAAATCGTAGTTAACCCACGGATACTGTAGGCAGTTGTAGGTGTGTAGAGAAACCCAAATATCAGTCCGCCAAAAGGAGGAAAATGGGCAAGTCCACCCACACATTAAATGGACCGGTTTGACAGTGATGTAAGGATTTTCTGATGTTCCTTTTCTCCTTTCAGCCATTTTTAAAAGTGACAAGAAGTTTTTAGAGCAGCAGGAAACCAGATGTTTGTATGGTTTGCCCTCTTTGGCAAAGGAAATCATCTTTGACTCAAATAGGTCTGTGGCAGAAAACCGGTTTGAGAAGAGTTATAAAAGAACCAGGGAAGGGGCGCTGTGGTGGCTCAGTCAGTTAAAGGTTTGACTCTTGATTTGGGTCAGGTCGTGTTCTCAGGGTCGTGAGACCGAGCCCCATGTCAGGTTCCAGGCTGGGCAAGGAGCCTGCTTAAGATTCACTCTCCCTCTCCCTTTGGCCCTCCCCCCACCCCCACCCACAGGTGCATGCTCTCTCTAAACCTTCAACAAACAAAAAACAGGGCTGAGATGTGAATGTTTCAGCTGAGCATTCTAATCTTGATACAGTATAAAAAAGTGACATTCAGAAGTCGGTGTGTTCTCAGTGTATTTTTTTCTTTAAAGATTTTTATTTATTTGACAGAGACACAGCGAAAGGGACAACACAAGCATGGGTCAGTGGGAGAGGGAGAAGCAGGCTTCCTGCTGAGCAGGGAGCCCCATGCAGGGTTCGATCCCAGGACCCTGGGATCACCACACAAGCTGAAGGCAGACGGTTAACAACTGAGCCACCCAGGCGCCCCTTGGTGTATGTTCTTGACGGAATCCCTTCATCCCTCTATATTCTGGAGGCCTCTGTTGCTTAACCTTATTCTCTCCTTCTGTGAGGATTGTGAGAAATTTCTGGGTAACCTCTTAACCCTCATGGGTGAGACTTTCCTGGAAATACAACAGTTATTGCCAACTTGACAGGTCTACTCTTTTTTCCTGGAGAGAAAAGAAAAAACACTGAGCTAGTACCCTGACCCTAACTTGACTTTTTACATTCCCTTCCTCTTTACTGTGGACTTCCCTCCTCAAGGCCACGTTTTGGAACCAAGTATAACAAGCTCAAAAGAAGAAAACTATCGAGTGCTCCTCTTGAACTCAGTAAAACCTTTTGCTTACAGATAATATGAAATACTTCTAACTTTTCTAAAAGGGTGTGCCCTGTGTCACTAGGGGCTGGAGAGACTGTGAGAATAGGGTCAGTGGAGCCCAGCCTAATGTATGGGCGGACAACTCAGACCTTATGTTCTACAGATGTTAGAGCAGAAGCATCATCTTCATACACAAAGCTCATCAGTCGGCCAATAAGCATTTACTGAATGCCTCAACTGTGTTCAGTACTGAGTTATGCGTGAGGTCAATGGGGTGTGATGCCAGCCTCGTGCATGCCAGACTGGGAGCCAGGAGGCCTGCCAATCACTGGATTTTGGGAAAACCCAAAAATGTTCTTCTCCCAAAGCCTCAGTTTCTTAATGTGTAAAATTAGGAGGCTGTAGTGGTTAACCTCAGACTTTAGGTTTCTTCCAACTAGAACGGTCACAGAGATTAAAGAAGGATAATGAGTTCACGGGCTCCTGGATCTCAAGAGACTTCTAGATGGCTAGGGAGACTGAATAATTGTACCCCAAATTGTGTTGTTTCTGAAAGAGCACAGCTTAGCCCATCTGGTTGCCTAGGTGTCTTCCTCAGACTTGGTGCAAAGGGGTCACATGAACAGATTTCTGCTCATGATGCTCTGGTCCTACTGCTTTTCTGAGGATTCCTTCCTTGTGTGTACTAAGCTTAGTCCCGACAGGGCCTTTGCACATGCTTCTCTTGCCGCATTGGACTTCCTACAGGAATGGTGGCTGGTTCCTCCTTTCTCATCCTTTAGATCTCCTTGGCTCTCCCCTTCTGAGTGCGCCATATTTTACTATCTCTAAGGTTTTCTATTTTCTTACTTCAGCATCCACGTCCTTCTTCGCACTCTCCCAGGTGGTAGCCTTTTGACTTGTTTCTCGTTTGCTTCCCTTGTCAGGCTGTTGGCTCCACTGGGCAGGGGTGTTTCTTGTTTTGTTCAGAACTGTATGTCCAAAGCTTAATCCACGTAAAAGGTCTCAATCTTTGCTCAAGAAATGACGTGGCAGCTGCACAGTTCTGAGGAACCGAAGGCATCTAAAGTTGCTTCCCCATAAAAATGCCCTTTTGGGATTCCCCAAGGCAGGCTAGGCTTAGGCTGCAGTAACTTCTTTCCCGTTGCCTGCTTTCTTTGGATCTAGACAGTTCTTTTCCTTGAGGAAAAAGGCTCTATGTCATCACTACGCCTTCTCCTGCGCCGCCGTGACATCATTACTGCTTCTCGCTGCGTCACAAATTCATCCACAGCTCCTTTCTCGCCCTCTAGAAACCCCCAACCTTTCTGGGCTCAGCCCAGCTTTGCGTCTCGCCCCGGGCCCCGCCTTTACGTCACGTCCGCCCGCCCGCGCGGTGATGACGTCATGCTCCTGAGCTGGCGTCACGTGCCCCCCCGCCGGGGGCGGGCCTTGAGGGCGGCGCTTCCGGTCGGCGGAGCCTGGCGGCCGGAGCTGCAGCGGCGGCTGAGACGCGGGGATGGCGGGCGCTGGGAGCGAAGCCCGGTTTGCCGGGCTGTCGCTGATGCAGCTCAACGAGCTGCTGGAGGACGAGGGACAGCTGACGGAGATGGTGCAGAAGATGGAGGAGGTGAGCTGGGCAGGGGCGCGCGGCGGCGGCGCCTCAAGGAGGGGCGTGCGGGGTCGGGGGCCCGCGGCGGGCTGGAGGTGGCCCGAGGGGGGGGGGCGATCGCAGTGCCTCAAGTTGGGTCGAAGGGTCTGCGACGAGGAATGGGAGGGCTGGAGACGGGGTCGGGGTGAGGGGACGGAGCTGGGGCCGAGCGGGGGAAAGCGTCCTGAGACGGGGCTCGAGGGCTGACCGGGTTCGGGGCGAGGCTTTGAGGCGCCGAGGCTGGGAGAGTCGGCAGCGGGCATTTGGGCACTCAGGGGGCCGTGGCTGAGTCTGGTGGGATGAGGAGGGAATTAGGGGGATGAGACTGGGTTATAGAAGGTAGAGGGGACTGTCGTGGAGGACTAAGGGGTGACTGAGACTGGAGGGAGGGGGCCGAGGACTAGGTCTGGGGAGGGGTTCGGGGGTTTGACGAGAGGGTTGAGAGGTACAGGCGGACTGCAGCAGGAACTGGGGTCTGTGAATAGGTTTTCAGGGGGTGAGCGGACTAGCCGGCTTGCCATTTCCAGGATGGGTTTGAGGGGGCTGAGGCTCTGTAGCTGAGTCTGGACAGTAGTTCTGAGATGGACTTTAGGATTGGGAAGGGTCTCTGAGGTTGTGGGAGGCACGAGGCCATGGTCTTAGCTAGGTTAAGATTTGAGGGGTCCGGGTATCTAAGAGTTCCCGAGTGTTGGAGGGTTCGTATGGGGTCCGCCTTCATTTGGAAGTGGCCCTAGCAGAGCCGTCCTAGGTGGTTCTCCTTGGTCTGGTGGTTGGGAGCAGGAATCCCTTTCTCCATAAAGTTGCCCCTTCCTGTGAAAGAAGTGAATATGGGAATCTAGTGTGGTGGCTTTGCCCCAGTGTGTTACCCTGCTGGGGCCCATGAGAGTTCCTGGAGCTATTTTTTTGGGAGAAGATAAACCAGGGGTTGGGGGGCTGACAGCCAATCCCCGCCTCTTCAGTAGTGGAGGTCCTTCCCAGCCTCCGAAAGGCATATGCCACCCTGTTTCTGGTTATCTCACTGCATCTCTTGCGGCGTGGTTTGCTCTCCAGGGCAACTGGCTTCACGCTTGGATTTGCAATGTGTGTCTCTCCTTTTCCCAGCCCTTTTGGACTCTTTCTCTGAATGTCCCATCCTGTGGGTCTGGGGCTCTCGTCCAGGCAGGTGGACACAGGCTGATTCCAGCTCTCCCCAGCCCATTTACCACTCCTCCTTCTTTGTCTACAAAGTCTGAGCCTTCCCACGCCTACAGGGCTGAGCCTCTCACCCAGAAGCCTGAGTGGGGGCTTTTGGCTTTCTTTCCGAAGAGGGATTGTTCAGCACTGAGCCAGCTTCCTTAAAAGGAGGCTTGTATGGAGGTTGCACATTCAAAATCACTGGAAAACCCTCAACAGATTATTGTCCTGAGCTACAGAGAGGCCACTGTAGTAAGATGGTATCAGTCTCTCCATTAATACACCCCTTGTATTCATGGGCTTTGTAACTTGGCACATAGAACATTGCTCCGAGATGCAGTTTCCCTCATTTATGGTCTCCATGTGGCACTTTCCATTTTAGAGAATAATAAGTGACAAAATCCATTTTTCTTGACTGAAAGAGTTTCATGTCTCTAAAGAAGTAAAGTCTTTGCCTAGTTTCTCTGCTTTTCAGTTCCTGGGAGACCTTTTTTTGTATGTCAGCAGGCATCTTTCTAGTTTAATAATAAAATGACAGGTATGTTTTTGTAATGTGTAATACCACCTACAAGTTATTTTGCTGTGGGACTCTTCTGTTTCAGTAAGGACAGAATACTGTATTTATATTGGTGTAGTTAGATTGATTATATTCTACCGTAATAGAAATAAACGGCCTTGTAGCGGAGGGAAGATTGTGGAGGGAGTCGAGTAATTCTCCTGACTCCGAGGCTGTTAGGGAGAGCATCACTTGTTTCCTCTACTCAAGAAACTGGAGATTATTATATAAAGGGAAAGGCAAATTAATCCAGCAGAACATTTTTGATGGGCTTTTTTTTTTTTTAAGTAGAGGTAACCATCCTACCAGAATATCCTATATAAATAACTGCACTTGATCAGACCTCATAATCACATAATTCAAGTTAACTTACGCAGCAGCAGTTTTTCTTCGGGGTGTAGTGCTTTTAAAAACAAGGAAACTGATCCAGAAGACCAAACGTCAGCCAAGCAGTTCAGCTAGCTACGGTCACACTTAGCAAATCCTGTTCGTGTGGTCACATGTGGCATGTTCCTGTAAGGAACAGGTATAACATGAATAACTAAAATTTTGGCCATGGTACTTTGACTCAGGAATTAGCGTTATGCATTGGCTTATTGGCTTTTTTTTCGGGGTGGTTGTGAGACACAGAAGAAAATACTCTGTGAACTGTCCTCTCCTGACCAAAGGGAATTTACAGACTTTGGAATCAAATATTCTAGGCTGGACATGGCCACTTCCCAGCTGTGTGATTTCAGGCAAGTTAATCCATCTCTCTGAGCATCTTTTGGGAGAGGGCTAATAGAGTTGACGTGGGGATTATGGGAGATAGTGCACGTTAACACAGCATGTAGTTAGTGCTCAATAAAGAGTAACTGTAGTCACTAATAATCAGCTAATTCATTGTTTTAGAAAGGTGCTGACAGCCATTAATATAGAAGATCATCCTGACAAGTTAATAGGGTCTTAGTTCAAGAATGTTAAGTAAATTTTTATTTGCCAGTAGCTTAAGAAACGTCTTACCTTTCTGTCATCAAAATGGTTATGTATCCCAGTAGGTCTAGGAAGAGACCGTGAATGGAACAGGCCTTTTTCAAGCGTACAATCTCTTAATCTGAACCAAGGGCTTTTTTTTTTTTTTTTTTTTAATTGGCAGAAGGAAGTGTTTTAAATTGTAGAGTAAGACTTCTTCAAGCCTGAGGGGATATTTTGTGGCGACTGGCAGCATGGCTGGGTTTCGAAGGCATTCACTGTTAGGTCTGAGCACGGCTGGGCATTATACTTCCCTTACATTGTTTTAATTGGGGTGTGTGCACTTTAGCACAGCTCAAGACATTAAAATCATGTCGGAGCTATAGACGGTCTCCTTTCCAGTGTCCCTGTGTTTATCTTTTCCTGTTCCTCCTGTCCATTATGCAGTTCCCTAAATGTAATACCATCCCCAGTGATCTTTGCTCTTTCCTTTCCTGTGGGCTGACGTTTCATATGCACACATTTTATTTTTATTTAAAGTTATTTTTACATGGCAGTGGAATGTGCCTTTCTCTCTCTGTCCACATTAACCCAGTTGGACTTACAGGGCACTCCCTTAAAAGGAACTGTCGTTTAGGGGATTAGGCAGCTAAACCGCACCTCCTTGGGTCACTCGGTGTGCCTTCTGAGGAAATGTTGATTGGTTGGCGTTAATAATTCCACCTAACTAAGGTTCAAAACCAGGATCTGTGTTCCTTTGGCAAGTGAACATGCCACATGCAGAAACGCTGAGGGGCTGAAAAACAGATTGTTTTGTGGAAAGAGTCTGGTCTGGGAGAAGCTGTTTCCCTAAGGCGTGTTCTGGTGTGATTTGTGTGGGGTTGCAAAGCTCCTGCGTGAATCATAATGGCTCATTGAAAAGTACTGACCTTGCTTTAAACCCAGGGACTGTTTCCTCAACACACCGAGCGCTGGTGGGACTGGTTTTTGGAAGTGAAGATTTAAACTCTTGGAGTATCTGCTACTAGAGTTTCTGTTCACGTTGTGCAGTCATTGTGTGGAAAGGCTGCAACTTTTACATTTGAGTCTTCTCTTCCATCGACTTATTATTTTCACTCTTGAGTAAAAAATTACTGTGCCTGAGATTGTTTTCTGAAATTCAGTGTTTTTAAAGGAGGCATTACAATTTTGTGGAGGGGCACCTGGGTGTCTCAGTCAGTTAAGCGTCTGCCTACAGCTCAGGTTGTGATCCCAGGGTCCCCCACTCAGCGGGAAGCCTGCTTCTCCCTCTCTCTCTGCCCCTCCCCTCCACTTGGGTACACTCTCCCTCTCAAATAAACAAAGTCTAAAAAAAAAAAAAGGTTTTATGGAAACAGCATAGCTGAGAGTTGTGTGATGATCTTTCAGTTACTTAAACCCTCTGTGCTTGGTTCCTCCACTGTCAAGTGAGGGTATTAACTATGTGGGTGTTGTGAGGCCCAGTGGAATGGCAGGTGAAGGTAGTACTTGGCACAGAGGGGGCATCTGTACAGGCTAGCCCTCTTGAGAGAGATTCAGGAGGTGCCTGGGTGGCTCAGTCGTTAAGTGTCTGCCTTCAGCTCAGGTCATGATCCCAGGGTCCTGGGATGAGCCCCGAATCGGTCTCCCTGCTGGGCGGGAGGCCTGCTTCTCCCTCTCCCACTCCCCCTGCTTATGTTCCCTCTCTCTCTGTGTCTCTCTCTGTCAAATAAATAAATAACCTCTTTTAAAAAAATAAAAAAAACAAAACAAATAAGATTCAGAATTCTTAGACTGGCTGGCTTAGGTGAAATCACTTAGGTAATTGCTCTGTCCTACCTGTGCCTAGATTGAAAGGACTGTGGGTGTGGTATAGTGCAGGACTGACTTTCAATACTAGCTGCGGACCTTGGGCAGGGACTGTCTTCCCAAGTGGAGTATCCGCATTGCAAATAAAAGGGATGGCAGCAGTGACCTACTTTATCGGGTTGGTTGGGTGGATGAAATGAGTGTTTAAGATGCTTAGTACGGCACCCAGCACAGTGGGCTCTCAGGAAGTTGTTATCAGCTGTTACTGCTAAAACGAAAAGGCTTCATATTCTTGCTGCCATTTCAAGAAGATCGCACTTCAGTTCCACAGCTGTGGGGCACTTACTGCATGGGAGGCATTTTAAAGATGGAAACATGAGTAGGGCATCACAATCCCCGTATTATAATTTGGGGAAGAAACCGAGTACACAGATACAGCACAAGAGAGAATGAGCGGTGGGGAGTTTGAGTTCCAGAAGATAAGCGCGATGAC